TATAGAGGAATCCAACTGATTTTTCTATGTTGGTCTTACATCCTGCCACTTTGTTGAATCCTCCAATGAGGTCAAGTAGAATTTTTACTGAGTTTGGGGGGTTTTCTATATATAGAATCATATCATCTGCAATAGAGTGAGTTTTAATTCCTCTTTGCCAATTCAGATGCCCTTAATTTCTCTATTTTGCCGTATAGCTCTAGGTAAGACTTCCATCACAATATTGAATAGGAGTGTTAACAAAGAGCATCCATGTCTGGTTCCTGTTCGCAGAATAAAGGAATTCAGTTACTCTCCACTGAGAGTAATGTAAGCTGTTGGTATTGTCTGTTGTTGTTTTTGTTGTTAAGTGTCGTCTAGTCAATTCCAAACCATAGTGATTCTTTATAGGTGATTCTGAAGAGCAGCTAGTGAGCTTGAAACACTGACCATCCAGTTCAAAGGGCTTTGCAATCTGGCACATTAATCCACAGTGCTACACCAGAACTCCTGGTTGGTTTTGTATATATGCTCTTAATTATGTTGAGGAATTTCCCTTCAATTCCTATTTTGTTGAGTGTTTTTATCAAGAATGGATGTTGGATTTTGTCAAATGCCTTTTCTGCATCAATCAATATGATCGTGTGTTGTTTTTTTTTGTTTGTTTGTTTATATGGTGGATTACATTGATTGTTTTTCTAATGTTGAACCATCCTTGCATCCCTGATATGAATCCCACTTGATCATGATGTATTATTTTTTTGATGTGCTGCTGGGTTTGTTGGCTAGGATTATGTTGAGAATTTTTGCATCTATGTTCATGAGGGATATTGGTCTCTAATTTTCTTTCTCAATGATGTCCTTCCCTGGTTTTGGTATGAGGGTTATGTCTTAGGAAGTTTTCCATCCTCTTCTATATTATGGAATAATTTGAGTAGAATTGTTGACAGCACTTCCCTGAATGTTTGGTGGAACTCATCAGTGAAACCATCTGGGCCTGGACTTCTTTTGGTTGGGAGCTTTTTGATGACCTGATCAATTTCTTCTTTTGTTATGGATCTGTTCAAGTCTTCTTCCTCACTCTGTTTTAGTTTAGGAAGGTTGTGTTTTTCAAAAAATGTATCCATCTCTTGTAAGTTTTCAAATTTGTTGGAGTACAACTTTTCATAGTATTCTGTTATTATCCTTTTGAGTGCCTTTGATTCCATCATGATATCGCCCATGTGGTTTTTAATGTGTGTTGTTTGTGTCTTCTCCCTCTTTTCTCTTGTTAGATTTGCCAATAGTTTGTTAATTTTATTAATCCTTTCAATGAACCAGCTTCTTGTCCTTTTAATTATTTGTATAGTTTTTCTGTTTTCTATCTCATTTATTTCTTCTCTGATTTTTATTATTTCTTTTCTTTTGGTGACTGTAGGTTCCCTCTGTTGGTCTCTTTCTAATTGCTGGAGATACTGTGCTAATGTGCTAATTTTGGTTGTTTCTTCTTTTTGGATATGTGCATTTATTGCAATAAATTGTCCTCTCAGCACTGCTTCTGCCGTGTCCCAAAGATTTTGATATGTTGTGTTTTCGTTCTCATTTGTTTCTAGGAAATTTTTGAATTCACGTTTAATTAATTTCTTCTTTTACCCAGTTGATTTTCAGTAGGGGGTTATTCAGTTTCCTGTATTAAACTCTATTTCCTTAGTCTTCTTATTGTTGATTTCTAGTTCTATGGCATTGTGGCCTGAAAAGATGCTTTGTAGTATTTAGATGTTTGTAAATTTATGGAGGCTTCCTTTGTGACCTACACATGGTCAATTCTGGAGATTAGATGTGCACTGGAAAAAAAATGTGTATTGTGCTGTTTAGGGGTTGAATGCTCTGTACATGTCTATGTGATCAAGTTGGTTGATTGTGCTGTTTAGTTCCTTTGTAGTTTTGTTGAGTTTCTTTCTGGTTGTTCTATACTTTTTTGAAAGTGGTGTACTAAAATCTCCCACTATAATTGTAGATTTATCTATTTCTTTCTTAAATTCTAGTAGGGTTTATATAAATATCTTGGTGCTCTTTTTTGGGAGGGTAGATGTTAATTATGGTCATGTCATCTTGCTCAATTGACTCTTTGATCATGAGATAGTGTCCTTTTTTATCTCTTATGCTGGTTTTTGTCTTAAAGTTTTCTTTATCAGAAATTAGAAATGCCACTCCTGCTTATTTATTGTTTCAGTTAGCTTGGTATATATTTTTCCATCCTTTAACTTTTAGTCTGTTTTTGTCTTTGTATGCACGATGTATCTCTTGCAGGCAGCATGTTGAAGGATCTTGTTTTCTTATCCATTCTGCCACTTTCTGTCTCTTCACTAGCTCATTTAATCCATTTACATTCAGTGTAATTATTGATACCTATGGATTAATTGCTATTACTATGGTAATTTTTTGTGATGCCCTTCGTTCCTTTGTTCTGCTTGCCTTCTTGTTCTGAGTTCATGTTTTTGTGCTAATTCTTGTCAGTTTCTTCTTAGTTTTATCATTTATTTGTCCTACTTGGATCTTCATTTTCTTGGTAAGTTGTGAAGTATTAATTTTTTTTTTTTTTTTGGAGTTACCCTATATTCTATTAAGTGGTCCCTGTATTTAAGAGAGTCTGTTGTATCCTGCAATCTACTTGACCTCCTCACCACCTGGATCACTGTTCCTATATTTTGTCCTTCTTTGACATTGTTAATATTTTGAACTTTGGTTGGCCTCACAGGTCCACTGAATTAATTGCTGTAATTTTGTTCTGTTCTGAACTCTGCTGTTGATTGAGTTCTAGGTGGTGTTGCCATGTCTGTCAATCTCTGGTTGTTGTCTGTTCTTTCTGGTTTTCATTCCAAAGAACTCCCTTTAGGATGTTTTGAAGCACTGGATTGGCTCTGACAAAATCTCTTAGCTTCTGTTTATCCTGGAATATTTTGATTGCCCCATCCTATTTGACTGACAGTTTTGCTAGATGATGATTCTTGCTTGGCAGTTTTTTTCTGTTTTTTTTTTTTTTTTTCTTTTTTTATATATGTCTCCCCATTGCCTTCTTGCCTGCATGGTTTCTGCTGAGAAGTCAGAACTTAATCTAATTCGCTTGCCTTTGTAGGTGACACTTCTCTTTTCCCAAGCTGCTTTTAGGATTCTCTCCTTGTCTTTGATTTTGGAGAACTTGATTATGATATGTCTTGGAGATTTTCTTTTGGGGTCTATCCTTCTTGGTGTTCATTCAGCTTTTTGAATGTTTATCTTCTCACCCTTCATGATGTTAGGGAAATTTTCTTCCAGTAGTTCCTGAACTATCTCCACTGTGGACTTCTGTGATTCTTCCTGTTCTGGAATGCCAATAATCCTTAAGTTATTCCTCTTCATGTTATCTAGCATGAATCTTAGACTCTCTTCAATTTTTTAACCTTTTTTCTGCTTGCTTTTCTATCTTAGCAGTATTGAGAGATTTGTCTTCCAGCTCATTGGTTTTGGCTTCCAGCTCCTCAATTCTACTCCTTCGCCTTTTCAGTGTATTTTCCATTTCTGATATTTTATTATTAATTGTCTAGACCTCTTTTTACAGGTTTTGAATTGTCTAGTGCTGTAGCTATCTTGTTTGATTGCTCCTGTAGCACTTTCCTAACTTCTTCCTTATTTCATTTGAATTTATTTCTACAGCATTCTTCTGAATTCCTTCTCAGGCAGATTCATAGCCCACTCTTCTACTGGAAAATCTGTGTCTACTTCCAGCTCATTTGTCTCAGTACTCTTTTCTGGTTTTGGACATGTGTTGAGATCTTTTGTTGTGTTTTTTTGGGGGGGCATGCTTAGTAGTTATGAGGGTTTTTAATGCTTAAATGGATGTATGGTGCTGTGTTGTTAAGCTTTACTGAGTGTCTCCTGGTGGATATGATCTGGAGATCGGCTTACTTTTCCATGTGTAATGTGTAGCAGCTGGCATTGGCTTTTGTCCAGATGGTGGGATATTATAGGATATGCTTGTGGTTTGGCTATATGAGCACAATTGCTGTCTCTTTATGGGTAAGGTAGGGGGAGAAAACTCCTGCTCCCAGGAAAAGAGTGAGGACAAAAGGACCAAATACAGAAACAATATAAAAGTAGAGACAAAAACCACCAATCAAATACAAAAACAAAATTGTAGTCGACTGTCTAGTAGGCTTTGCTGTGAAGGCAGAGATAAAGTGTCCTGTCTAGGTCAACTTTAGGGCTGTATCCCAGAGTCAGACATCAAAAGAAGCAGCCTGCAGGACTCTTCTCTGTGCCATGGGAAAACCGTGGGTGCAATGTTGGACCTTTTGGGGGTGTTCTCCTGCCCACCTGAAGGCATTCAGGCTGGGCAGTGAGTTCATGATCAGGGTGAGGAAGAAAGATACGTGAAAAGTGAAAGATGAAAAATCAGTCATACCTCTCTCTCCAGACATGCAGCTACATGGCTTCAAGCACTGGATCACTGCCTCCACTTGGCTGTTGAACATCTAATCTTAAGGTTAGCAGCCAAGTGTGTTATATATTTGTACCACACAGGCACTCCTGAATTGATTGTAGAAACTTTCGTCTCTGAAGAAAATTTAAAAAATAAATATTTTGCTCTCTCATTATTGGGTTAAGTGTATAGTCTTCCAACATTACTAAATAATAATAGTCATTTGTGTGCCTCGATTATGTTTGTTAAAAGATCAACCACAGTTACCTAAATTTATATTAACACATAATTTAGGTTTGAGAATTTCAATGAGATAGGACTGCATTTAGAGATCCTTAGAGACATTGCTGAGATATCTATGCCTCTTTGAAATCATCATGTTAGTAAATTGTTAGTTTGGCCTTGCACTTGATTTTCTGATTTCTAATCCAGGCTATAAGGAGCTTAGGTAGCATAGTAGTTACGAATTGGGCTGCTAACCTCAGGGTCAGCAGTTCAAAACTACCAGCTGTTCTGCAGGAGAAAGATGAAGCTTTCTGCTCCTGTAAAGATTTAAAGCCTCAGAAACTCTTAAAGGGTCGCTATGAGTTGGAACCAACTCCATGGCATATAACCACCAACACCACCAATCCAGGCTACATTCTTGGTGTCCATGGAAGCATCTTCAGGAGCCAAAAGAAATTCAATTGGGATTTCTCCTTGCACTACTCTATTCAGAACAGGAAATATATCACATGGACAAATAATCAAGTCAGTACCAACTCATAGAGACCCTATACACAACATAACAAAACACTGCCCAATTCTGAGCCAACCTCACAATTGTTGCCACACTTGAGCCCATTGATGCTGCCACTTTGCAAATCCATCTCACTGGGAGTCTTCCTCTTTTTCTCTTACCCTCCCTCCACCTTACCAAACATGATATCCTTTTCCAGCAACTGGTCCCTCCCAACCATATGTCCAAAGTATGAGAGACAAATTTTGGCCATCCTGGCCTCCAAGAAGCACTCTGGCTGCACTTCTTCCAACATAAATATCTTCGTTCCTTTGGCAGCCCATGACACTTTAAATATGCTCCTCCAACACCATAACTCAAAAGCATCAATTCTGCTATGGTGTTCCTTAGTCATTGTCCAGCTTTCTTTGAGAATACAACACTTCAAATCTCTAGATATAATGTTGTGGTGAGAATTTAAGACTAAGACAAAAGGTCCGATTAAATCATGTTCTAGTTCCCTTCCAATATGACTTAAGACTCAAAAATTTCTTTCCAGGCTAGTGATGCTATTATAAGTCTACCAAGCTAATGTTCTTTTTTAAAAAATGCATTTCTATGTAAATATGAAGATTTACCCACATTAATATTGCCAGCTCACTCAAAGGAACTATTATCAGAGCCTGTCATTCTGGTTCCCTACTTTCTTCCACTTAACAAAAATAACAACATCTCCCTGGAAGGGCCCCATATATAGAAAAAAATAGGGGAAATTAAAAGAAATATCTTTGCTAAATAGAGAAATTCCTATAAAACTTTAGTAGATACATATCTGAAAATATGTCATTGTTGATAAATGCCGCTGAGTCAGTTATGACTCATAGAGACCCTGTATAGGGTTTCCAAAGAGTAGCTGGTGGGGTTAAACTACCACCTTTGTGCTTGGTAGTCTAGTGGTGATCTTGCAGCGCCATACCAACATGAGTTGAAGTAAACATTTGGAAGAAACAATGGATTTTCTGATTTTGTTGCTCTCTTCTGATGCCTGCATATTAATAAAAACATTCTGACATAACTCACTTACAGCCTGGGTTTGTGATACCATTCACAGCAAATATTATAAGGATGGCCATTACTGACTGACCAATTTCACTACTACCTTCATAAATTTTCTTAGTTTTCTTTTTTTCCTTTTATTTCAGTAAGTGCGGCAAAAGAATTCCCTGAGAGAAAGATATATGAAGTGGTTTATCCCAGAAGAATTCACCCGTTGCATAAAAGAGAGATAGACAACTTTAAGAAGTCAAATCAACAGGTACAACTTTTGCATTATCAGAGAATCTTCATTTGAAATATGTATACCTTTTTTAAACCATCAAATGTATTTTGTGAAATTTTCAGTTATTAAGGTTTGGAGTTAAATAACATTAATGACCAACTTTGTGTTTATTTTTACCTATCTTTTAAAATATTCACTATAACTCAAAGTTCTATTATTATCCTCATTTTGCAAATTAAGAATCCTAGATGTCAGATTTCCAGTTCTGGTGGCTGCTGAGGCAGAGTCAGGTAGGACGGGTTCCATGGGGGAAGGATTGAAAATGCAGAGAAGCTGCTCTCACAGAACAGCACCAGAGCTCTGGCTCTAGCATACGGTGCAGGTTGTCAGTTTCCTGCTCACACCATTGAAAAAATCATGGTATAAAGAAAAATACTGCAATTTAGGAATCACTCTAGGTGAAGGACTCCCTCTGCAGCCATCAGGCCTGGGTAGAGTTCAGAGTTAGGGGCTGCAGCCAGACTGCCACAGGGAATCGGTGCTAAAAGCAATGCCATGACATTTGCAAAAGGAGGTGTAGTAGGGGGGATTCTACACATTTTTTCCTCCTCTTCCCTGTTGTACCTTCTTTGCCCAGCCCAGACGCCTTCAGACAGGTGGGTATGCACCTCAAGAAATGGGGTTCAACGTTAAGCCCACAGTTTTTCCCATGGCAAAGAGAGAAAGAGCCCTATCAGACCTAAGGGCAAAAAACAAGTCCAGGCCCAGATGGCTTCACTGGTGAGTTCTACCAGACATTCAGGGAAGAGCTGTCACCAATTCTACTCAAATTATTCCAGAATATAGAAAATGACAGAACACTTCATAATAATTTTTATGAAGCCAGCATAAACCTCATACCAAAAAACAGGGAAAGATATCACCAAGAATGAAAACTATAGATCAATATCCCTCATGAACATAGACACAAAAATTCTCAACAAAATCCTAGCCAAGAATCCAGCAGCACAACAAAAAAATAATACATCATGACCAAGTGGGTTCATAAAAGGGATGCAAGAATGGTTCAACATTATAAAAACAATCAATGTAATCCACCATATAAATAAGAAAAAGGAAAGAACCACATGATCATATCAATTGATACAGAAAAGGCATTTGACAAAATCCAACATCCATTCCTGAAAAACAAAAAACAAAAACAACACTCAACAAAGTGGAAATTGAAGGGAAATTCCTGAACATAATCAAGAGCATATATACAAAACCAACAGCCTACATCACTCTCAATGGAGAGAAACTGAAAGCCTTCCATTGGCAAACAAGAACCAAACAAGGATGCCCTTTGTCACCACTCTTATTCAATATTATTCTGGAAGTCTTAGCCAGAGCTATATGGCAAGGTAGTGAAATTGAAGGCATCCAAATTGGCAAAGAGGAAATAAATTGTCTCTATTTGCAGATGATATGATCCTATACATAGAAAAGCCCAAAGACTCAGTAAAAAAACCTACTAGACCTCATTGGAAGATTCAGCAAAGTGGCAGGGTACAAGATCAACATATAAAAATCAGTTGGATTACTCTACAATAACAATGACAGCATTGAAAAGGACATTAAGAAAGCAATGACATTTACAATTGCCACACAAAGGATGGAATATCTAGGAATAAATGTAACCAGAGAAACAAAGGACTTATACAATGAAAACTATAAAACACTACTACAAGAAACCAAAAGACACTTACAAAAGTGGAAGAACATACCATGATCTTGTATAGGAAGAATCAACATTGTGAAAATGTCAATACTTCCCAAAGCAATTTACAAATATAATGCAATCCCAATCCAAATTCCAATGACATTCTTCAAAGAGATGGGAAAGAAAATTTCAAAGTTTATATGGAAAGGAAAGAGACCCAGGATAAGCAAAGCACTGCTTAAGAAGAAGAACAGAGTTGGACGCCTCTCACTCCATGATTACAAAATCTACTACATGGTTACAGTGGTCAAAACAGCCCGGACTGATACAATGAAAGACACATTGATCAATGGAACAGAATAGAGAATCCAGAAATTAGCCCATCCACATACATCCAACTGATTTTCAACAAAGTGCCTAGGTATATTGCATGGGGAGGAGATAGTCTCTTTAACAGATGGTGCTGGCAGAACCAGAAAGCAATATGCAAAAGATTGAAACAAGACATTCACCTTATGCCCTGTGCTAAAACCAACTCAGCACACATTAAAGACCTAAATATGAATCCCAAAATTATGAAGGTCATCAATGAAAAAAAAAGGACAAATGTGAGGGCTCTAATACAGGGACTACACAGACTACCAAACATTTTGAAAATTGAGCAAACAAAAGTAGACAAAATAGATGATTGGAACATACTAAAAATTAAAAACTTATGTGCATCAAAGACTTCACCAAAAGAGTGAAAAGGGAACCCACTGAATGGGAAAACATCTTTTGCAATGACACATCTAACAAGGGATTCATTTCTAAAATATATAGGAAACTACAACACCGCTACAAGAAAAAGACAAGTAACCCAATTACAAAATGGGCACAGGACATGTAGACACTTCACCAAGGAAGATATCTGCACAGCCAACAAACATATGAAGAAATGTTCATGATCACTAGCCATTGTTCTTGTTGTTAAGTGCCGTCGAGTCGACTGCGACCCATAGCGACCCTGAATAGGGTTTCCAAGGATCAACTGGTGAGTTTGAACCACCGACCTTGCAGTTCAAACAACTTTGCAGTTTGACACATTAGCCCATTAGCCATTATTGAGACGCAAATCAAAACAACAATGAAATATTATCTCACAACAGCAATAACGGCAAAGATCAAAAAAAAGTAAATGATAATAAATTCTGGCAAGGATGCGGAGAGACTGGGACCCTCCTACATTGTTGGTGGGATTGCAAAATGGTCCAACCACTCTGGAAGGCAATATGGCACTTCCTCAGAAGGTTGGAAATAGATATACCTTATGATCCAGCAATTCCTCTACTTGGTATTTACCCACAAAAAATACAAGCCATAATGGGTATAGATATAATCACACCAATGTTCATAGCAGCACTATTTACAATAGCAAACAGATGGAGACAGCCTAAGTCCTCATCAATTGAAGAATGGTTAAACAAACTCTGGTACATACACACAATGGAATACTATGCCACCTTGAAGAACAACAAGGAAGCTGCAAACCACCACATAACATGGATGAACCCTGAGGACATTATGCCGAGTGAACTCAGTCAGTCACAAAAGGAGAGATTCTGCATAGGACCATTATTGTAAAAGATTAAGAAAAAGAACCCACCCTAAATGGGGGGAAATTATATATATATTTCCTAATCACCAGGATATATGGGATAAGAGGAGGGGAGGGAGGGAGGGGAAGATAGAGCACAAGGTAAGGAATAGACACCGGATACCTTGGGTGTGGGAAGTGGGGGGGGGGAGAAACAATACACAAGAAGGGGTAGAGGAATTGAAGAACAAGGCTGATGGAAGAACAGTTATGCAGGTTTGATTGGGCTAAGTGGGACAGAGGTAAATGATGAAGTATGCAAAACCTTGGGACAATAGGGCTCTGGCATAAAGGGACTGAGGCATGGTTTGAAGGGGTAAAAGAGGGGAGTAATATTAAGATACTTGGCTGTCTTTTGGATTTTGGTTTCCCTTGTCTATCACTGTAAAATAGACACCAGAAGGAGGTAGAAAGGAATGGCCAGAAACATCACTACAGAAAGCTTGTAAGTCCATCTTCAGCCTACAACTGATTGGAATACCTTAAAGAGGGCTTGAAATTGCACAGTGAAAGATGCTTCCTGAGGAGCCTTTACATTGCATAAGTCCACACGTGGAATCCAGAACCCCATCCAGAATCATCTGAGGTAGGAAATCTCCACTGGAAAAGATGAGTAGACCAGCCTGGAGTGGCTAGAAGAACAGAAGATACTTCATGAAAGAAAGACTGGCAGGAAAAATCTGAAAAAAATAATGACAGTCTGATTGATTACTACAGGAACAAGTAAGCTGTTTGCCCAGGAGCCATAAAGACAAGTGGTCAGGACCTCTCAAAGCAAACACCCTTCCAAGACTGAGACTCAAGGGGAATACACGAGCAGACATGTGGTCTGGCTGGTGACAACATTGATCACCGATAAGAGGAAGTGGGGGAAAAAACAATGAAGTTGCGAGCTAAGTCCAACCACATTCAATAGATCCCTGTGAACCTGGGTGGAGACCTGGATGGCCAGCAGTACAATAAGACCCAGGCACTCATGGGCCCAGAGGCAGTGACATGACCACAGAGGACTAGAACGGAGAATGAAGCATCTAGATGATAAGTGAGGGGAGATGCACAAGAACACCCATACTTGCAGATAGTACCTATTTGACCTGGCTTCAATTGCTTGATGATCAGAACTCGACTAGAAGAAGAAAGAAGAATGAAAAAAAAAAGTAACCTGTTACAATTTGATGAATTTTACCTATACATATGGATGCAGTAGCTAAAAAGAGGGAACAAATCTTTACAGCAAGGATCATTCCCACCTCTCCATACACAGAGTAGACAGGTATGGGCAACTTAGACATTGGTTACCCAAAATGGGGGGTCTATAAAGGCAAGAAGCGACCGGCTTACAAGCTTTCAAGAGGGAACCTAGATCCAGAGGGTATGGAAGAAGGTAGAATCTCCACTGAATGACTTCAAATATGTTGGGACCAGGCTGAGGAAAGGAAATGGGGATAAGACTCTTGTGGTACAATGGTGAATAATTGTTATCAGGACTGACTGTGAGGGTAGAAAATGTAGAGGTAGATGTTTTTTGACGAAAGGAGGGAAGAGATTGATTTTGCAGCCCCGGAGCGGCGGTCCGTGGGACCATCAGGTGAGAAGAGCGGAGAGCGGGATCCTACCCAGAAAGGCAGTGACGCCAGGGTTAGAGACAGAGATGATGACTTGGACAGATGGAGTGGCTGGGGACACTGAACTCAGGGA